AAATGCAGATTCGTTGTCAGCCGTGTGGACTAAAATAGAATGCCTCTTTTCCAGTAAAACGGGTCTCCGGTTCTCTACACTCACCATACGAAACACATCAGTGTTAAGCTGCTACTTTACGCTGATATTCTGTGAGCGTGATCCTTCCCCGGTCGAGCTGACCCATTCGCGCTATAACTATACTTAAGCGGAAAAGGAGTCCTACCACGTATTAATTGCCCCCACGTTTTAATAAAAAGACTACAGATTAGCCTTCTTTGTTTGACATTGGGTGCAAGTGTGAATTTGCTGCACTAAACAGCATCAGTTGGTATGTATGTTCATCCATTACAGCCTATAAAAGCCCATTACTGTCTCTCCATACATCTTTACGTGGTAGAGCCACGTTGCAGCTATATTATGTTTGTAGCACGAATGGTACGACCGGGGAAGGATCATGCTCTGACAGAATACCAGCGTAAAATAGCAGCTTAATAATGCTGTGTTTAGTGTGAAGAAACGGTGAACATTTACTGGAAACAAGGCATTCCATAGTAGCCCTCAGGGTTGACAATGCATCTGCATTTTGATTCTTAATCGAAGATAATGGTAAATATCTATGGAGTACAGGATCTACTAAACTACTTAAAACAAACGAGCACGTTTGTCACCCCTATTCTATAAAATAAAATATTTCTTCTTCATAGATTTGCTCATATTGGAATATATTTTGCCATTGCTTTGCAGGCGGGTTGGCAACCGCAGTATTAATTATTTAGAGTTTTCACAAGGAAGATGCTATTGCCATCTCCTTTTTAAGTTTCCCTCTACTCCATCACAAAAACTTACTTCTGAGAAGTAAAAAAAATAACTAATAATTAGGTTTTTGTGCTCAACAACTTGTTCCATTTGGACGAGATCACAGAATATAATTTCTTATCTGTGGGATTATCTACATATAGATTATTACATATGTTTTACGTAACATAAAATTTTTATTTCCCATGTTTCTCGTATATTCATAAAATATTTCGCGACTTTTATGAACACGACGCCATGAAAACTGACACAAACGTAATTTGAGATTTGGTTACGTGTTGTAATATTTCTGATGTTTGTCAAAAGTTTCTATTGGTATCTACATGAAACATGTCGATGTAACAAGTTTTGACATATAATTAAATGATTTTGGAATCTAAAATGTTAATTAGTTCAAATTTGAATAACTTCATGTTATTGAGGTTTGAAACATTTCTGCACAACACCGTAATTTTAACAGTGACAAGCTAGCTATCGGATCAGTTTACGCACAAAACTTTTCCAGCAAGCAGAGTCGTAGCTCTCCGTAACAATTTTCAGCATGGTGGTGGGGCCGTACAGTATCCTATTTATTAGGGGTGCTGTCTTATTGCGTATGGTGGAATTAAATATATCTGAGTAACTTTAGAGGATTGGGCGCGTGGAACATCCAGTGGCCGTCTGGCGTGATAAACCCAAAGACTTCTCATGTAAATACTCTGACAATGTGCTTTGAAATGTGTGATTTTAATTTGGTCAGTACAACAGACGAATCTGCGAGGGAACACATTACCACGGAGCGGTAGAGCCCTATGCTCTTTTTCTTTATCTCTACCATTCCAAAGGGCGTCGATAAGAATAATAATAATCAATTATTTCAATTCATCAGATCATAAATACAGTAGTGCATTTAAAATGAAATTTAAATTTTGATTTACATATGAATTAAATTAAAATAAAATTGAATTATGCCCCAGATGTTTGAATTTAGATATTCTATTTATTTTACACGATTCGAGGAACGTGTGATTAAAACTAACGAATACCTATATAATAATTAGTGCAAATAAGTTAAAGTAAAAGATACAGCCTATATACGCCCCATTGTTGGGGTCCTCCTCTCGTTTCTGAGAGAGTTTTAGGGCAAGGAAATGACCTCTGCGCTGCCCCAATATGTGTAGGCGAATTTCACATGTCGTCGAAATATATTTATTTCTTATTTCTCAGACGTGCAGATTTCCTTACGATGTTTTCCTTTGCCGCCGAGAACGTGGGAAATCAGCACTTAAAATTGCAATTAACAATTTCATTGGTGTCGGCGGGTGTCGAACCCGAGTTGCTCGCGTACTATGAAATTTTCGGCGAGCGCGCTCCTAAGCTGCCATGGCTTAGAATCACTTATTAGTTCAATAATTATTCGTAATTTTATTAATCTCTTGATGGCTGTTATAAGGATTATGTTTATAAAATACGATGTAAATTAATGAGTTTTTCAATATGTTAGGTATTGTTCGGACTAATTCCAGCCGCTCAATTTCACCATCGCACATCGCGACAAAACTTGCGATACCATCCATACCACCTGGATGATTGGCGGTCCACCACTGTGCGATTTAGAAGATGTTTTCTTCCTCGCACAACTTCCTTGTGGAATCGATTACCACCAGCGATTTTTCCGGACCGATACGACTTAGGGACCTTCAAGGAAAGAGCCTACTCCTTTTTAAAAGGCCGGCAACGTATCTGCAATTCCCCTGGTGTTGCGGTTGTTCATGGGCGGCGGTACTCACTTACCATCATATTTTCTACAAAATTTGTCCACTGCTAAGTTCAAAAATTTTATATAATATTTTATGAATATTTTATTACATTTCGTAAATGTAATATAAAAACAGTCAATATATTGAGGTTTTCACTACCAAACTATTTCGATTAAAATTTGTATTATAGTTAATTGTGTAACCTAATACATGACTGTAAACTGCTCTTTTTTTCATTGGTAACTTAAACATGAGAATATCCTGCAAAAAGTATTATTTATAACTTATATTGAATTAAAAAAATCCATTTCGATTTCTATATTATCTAGTTCAATTTCACTTATTTAAGCTTCACCAAATTTTGTGAATGAAAGAAAAACATAATATGAAATTGGCATCGGCATACTGATTTTTCTAGTGATTCGAGATGGCACTCTGGTTTGATCCTTGTTGGCACCACTCAAACCTTTTATTACTGAAGTAAGGGCGACTAACGAGAACACAATCCATTCGATGGTAAGGGGATTGTGATATATAAGTCCACACGACATTTATACTAAGGTAAAGAAAAAGTCTCATAATATAATTGAAGATTGAAAATTGTCATTGAAACTGTCCTTATTTCATTGCGATACTGTCAGGAAGAGCCTACTAACAATATGAAACGGATCGGAAAATATAATGCTAAAGCTCTTAAATGTGTATTTGTTTATATCCACGTAATAAATATGGGGTAGTAGATATTCTTACACCGCCACTAGACCGTAAAAAACTGGAGAAATATTTTATTAATTCATTATCGTGTATCGTGTATCGTGCGTGTTTCCTGGTGTAGTTGTGTTAGGATTAGAGGTGACAGGGATAGTGCACGCAATTGAGGGTGGGCGGGAGATGCTTTGCAGACTAGGTTGAACATCATTTTTTTTTATTACGCGGATATAAGCAAATTAATTTTTAAGATCTTAAATATAATGGATATCCGCAAAGTGACGGCTGATTCCATTAAATATAATGTTTGTAAACATATGCAAATGTACAACTTGATTGTGACAAAAAACATGCATATGACACACGATACACGAGTATGATATTGTAAAAACTATATTGTGATTACGTCACTATTATTTGCAGTCTAGCCAACCACCCTGAAAAGTATCTGTAAAAATATTTTCTATATTAAAGTTGGTAAAAAAATTACCTCGCGTACATCCTTTTTTACTAAATTTAATATAATGGATTTCCGCAAAGTAACGCCTGATTCTATTAATTATATTTTCTATATGTTACATACGTAAATCCTACGGTCCTCCACACCAACATTATAGATCATTTTAGTTTACACGTATTGATTAACGCATTAGTTGTAAGAGTTTAATCAATCATAAGTAATCCAATATTTGTTTAGTACTCGACCTGGCCTCGTAACTCTGAACAAATTAATGTGAACATACTTGTATTCAACATAGCTTTGGTAGCTCAGGATACTAAGCGCTCTCTGTAAATTTTACATTTGACCAACCCAGGTTCGAGCCCCAATGCAATTATTAAATGATATTTTGAGTTTTGACTGCATGCCCGAAAAATAAAAAAAATATTTAAAAGACATGTGCAGTCCCATTTCTAGGCCCTGTGCACATATATAGGCTGTAACTTCACTTTGTATCCAGCTATATTATGTTGAAACTCTTTCAGTGATTCTCTTTTTAGAAGTATGGTAGTAAAAACTGTTATAAAAGTGTTAGTTATATGAACCTTTTAGTTAGTTTTCATTCATTGATCAATCATTACAGCCTATCAAAGGGGATATTCGCCATAGTTGTCGGGCTTAGCAGGCGGGTTAGCAACCGCAGTTTATTATTTTTTAGTTGTTATTAGAAAGACGCTGCTGCTGATTTTGTCAATGGGTAGACTTAATAACGGAGAATTGAGAAAACTAAAAGAATGTACAAGCAATATTTAAAATAATAAAATATTTGAATGTAGAAATCACGATTCACTTTTTCCTTTCTTTAAATTTTTTTTATTTATATACTTACGTTATATATTTATGTTCTTTTGTTACAGAATAATTCAACTCCTCTGGTGATTCAAAAAAATATGAAGGAGAAAATTGAACAAAGTAAACAGAATTGTACGAATACAATAATTTAAAAATCAAACAAAGAAGATTCGAAACCCGTTTTCCATAAGCCAGACCATCGTTTATCCAGGCCAACTCATGAATATGACATCAGCAGTCCTCCGTTACCCGCATTGTTGATTTATTCGGTGCCGGTGATCCATCATGTTGGGACTAGAAAATCTTAACCGACAGATATATTTTGGTTGAATGTCTAAATCGAATCTATTAGAATATCAATGTGATCGAATATGGATGAAGTGAGATGATAATTTTTTGAGTATTGGGAAAAAACAAAACCGAAGATAACTCTAAAATGCATTTGTAGACTTGCAACGGTAACCATGCGGAGACGACCTCTGCCATCGGTCCGTGAAGAAGTGTCAAGGCCAAAGACGTGGCGAAGTTTGTGCGAGAGTGAGTGGGCAGTGTATATACTCGTGGCTTCTGTTGGTTCACTGACGTATGCGAATAGTTTAAATGGTGAATTTGTTCATGACGATATCCCGGCAATTGTTTCTAATGGTGACGTGAACGGCGCAAATCCATTGTTACAAGTTTTCAAAAATGACTTCTGGGGTACACCAATGTCCGACTTGAATAGTCACAAATCGTATCGGCCACTTACTACGCTGTCGTTTCGGTAAGTTGCACTTTATAATATTCAAAATACTCGTAAATGATTTCTTTTTTAAGTTAGGGTGAAAAACAAGCGCACATTTTAACTGGTAATAATTAGCAAAGATAAAAATATAAATAAACTACATTCATAATCAATAAGGGTATCTTTTTCTCTACACAGATTACACACACACACACACACACACACACACACACACACACACACACACACACACACACACACACACACACACACACACACACACACACACAAACAGTATTATGTTGCTATTTTACGATGGTATTCTGTATGAGCGTGGTCATTTCTCAGCTGCATTCGTGCCTTAATAGTATAAAATGTTATTTTAAGTGAAGCAAAGTCATTTTTTAGAGATCCAATATATAGATAGAGTACTACGCAGTTTAAGAACCCTAATTCTCATTTTAAATACAATTGATTTTAAAACAAAGTTTGATTTTGTTAACCTTTAAAAAATGGTATTCTTTAATTGTTTATTATCAACAGAATCAAGTTTTTTTATTTAATAAGGGTGACAAACAAGGACACAATCCACCTCATAGTAAGTGGATGCTATAACCCATAGATTCAATCGAAATGCAAATGCGTTGTAACCTCTGAGGACTAAGATAGCATGTCTCGTTTCTCGTAAAAAGTGTCTCTGGCTTACACTCACCATACGAAACACAGCAGCACTAAGCTGCTATTTTACGCTGGTATTTTGTAAGAACGTCTGCAAGAGGAACGGAGGTATTTTTATGAGGACGTAGGTTCCGCAAAAGACCTCATCAACCGAACCTAATTATACTCCGATTTATGAGATCGTTACTTATTTTATTTAAGCTAATAATTGTTAAAATACTATTCATATCTATTTTCTTGTGAATTTCAAATCTGTTTTATTACCAATATAGTCTTAACTAATAATATGTATTAGGCGTTAATTTGCGTCAATTAGTTACAGTTATGATGTTATTAATATATTATTTAGTTTAAAGAGCACCTCCTGCCCTTCTGTAATTGTGTTCACTATTTCCTTCACTACTAATCCCAACACCACTACACTAGGCAAGACACGCCAACGTTGATAAAAAAAAAACTTGTTTCGCCTCTAAGCGATGAATTATCAGGAGAAATAGACTCACTCCATACCACTCTCCAATTAAGCAGCGACCAACCACCCACCTGACGTACGTTGCTGTTTGCTGTAAAGTTAACAACATGCTGCTGCGAAACGCCTATTAAAAATATGATTATTGCTCCATGGATATAAAAATATAGTGAGTCGTTAAATTTGTCTTAGCTATGGAAGTAAAGTTGGTATTAGATTTTGTTTTTTTTTTCAGAAGAGTATTAACGTGTTTTTTTTTAATCTTAATAATTGCGCTTGTTTTCATTGTGCAATACTGTGGCGACAATGGTCTTTTTGACTGATAAAGAAAGTTTGTTCTTCTTTATCAGCCCTAAAAAATCCATTTCTGAAAATGGGCTATTAAAGAATGTATCAACTGTGAACAATGTGAGAAATATTCTCATCACACTAGGATGCTTGGTTAGTGAACGCAGACCCAACGCTTCCGTAGCTAATACCGCTTTTCAACACAGGAAGGAGCTCCTCAGCTCGTAAAGTCCGCACTTATTATGGGCTACTGCCGTTGAAGGGGAGAATTGCCATAACCGCCACGCTTAGTAGGTGGATTTACGACCGCTTACGCTTACGATTACTAGGCGTCTCGCACCTTTGATGCTGCTCTCTTTAGCTGATCGGAGTATTTCTTGCTTGGAATTAACTATCGCTGCTTGGAAATAACTATATATTTATACGTGGTAGAGCCATGCTGCAGCTATAGTATAGTAGTAGCACGAATAAGTCGGCTCGACCGGGTATAGACCACGCTCTCACAGAATAAATTAAAAAAATAGCAGCTTAATGCTGCTGTGCTTCGTATGGTGAGTGTAGAGAACCGGAGACCCTTTTTACTGGAAAAGAGGCATTCTATCTTAGTCTTCACGGCTTACAACGCATCTGCATTTTAATTCGTAAACGAAGATAGATGTAGACACCTATGGGCCGCAGTAACCACTTACCATCAGGTGGGATGTGTGCTCGTTTGTCATCCTTATTCTATAAAAAAAATCGCTATCGCTAGTCAATGGTATTTGGTTGCGAAGTTTTCGAAATGGTAGGAAATTCAAAGATATTTACGTGGTAATGTCATGCTGCAGATGTATTATGGTTGTAGCATTTACGGGTCGGCTCGAACGGGGAAGGAACAAGCTCTTGCAGAATATCAGCGTGAAATAGCAGCTTATTACTGTTGTGTTTCTTATGTTGAGTGAAGAGAACCGGAGAGCCTTTTAACTGATAACAAGGCATTCTATCTTAGTCCTCAGAAGTGACAATTACCATTGGGTGGGCTGCGTGTTCATTTGTCATACATATTCTCTAAAAAAAATATTCCGCAATATTTGTCATTTACCAGAATATCTTCAACTGGTTAACAGAGAGCACCGCGTGCATGTGAGGTCACCATTCGCAAAATAATAGCATAGAATAGCATCATCATCAACATTACAGCCCTTCACTAGTCCACTGCTGAACATAGGCCTCCCCCAAGGAATGCCACAAAGCACGGTCCTGAGCCATCTGCATCCATCGACTTCCTGCATGTCTTACCAGGTCATCACTCCATCTCGTGGGGGGTCGCCCTACACTTCGCCTACTGGTACGAGGCTGCCACTCGAGAACCATTCTTCCCCATCTGTTGTCGGTTCTTCGAGCTATATGGCCGGCCCACTGCCACTTCAGCTTACTAATCCGTTGGGCTATGTCGGTCACTCTGGTTCTACTGCGGATATACTCATTTCTAAGTTTATCACGCAGAGAAACCCCGAGCATAGCCCTCTCCATAGCTCGCTGAGTGACCTTGAGCTTCCTCATACGGCCAGCAGTGAAGGACCACGTCTCAGATCCGTAGGCCATCACTGGCAACACGCACTTGTTGTATAATTTCGTTTTAAGGTTTTGAGGTATGTCTGACAAGAAGATGTGTCATAGTTTCCCGAACGCTGCCCAGGCGAGTTGAATTCGTCGATTAACCTCTCGGTCGAAGTTGGACTTACCTAGTCGGACTATTTGTCCCAGGTAAACATACTCGTCAACAACTTCGAGCTTAGTGCTCCTAACAACTACCGGGATAGGTGTGACATGGACATTAAACATGATCTTTGTTTAGTCCATGTTCATCCTAAGACCTATTTGTTTGGAGACACTATTGAGGTCATTGAGCGTGGTGCTTAGGTCCTCCAGCGATTCTGCCATAAGGACTATATCGTCGGCAAATCGAAGGTGAGTGATGTACTCGCCATTGATGTTGATACCGTATCCTTTCCAGTCCAGAAGCTTGAAAACGTCTTCCAATGCAGCGTTGAAGAGTTTCGGGGATAAAACATCACCCTGTCTTACACCTCTCTGCAATTGGATAGGTTTCGTACTCTGGTTCTGTATTCGGATAGTCATCGTATCTCTACTGTACAAACACTTCAGCACTTCGATATACCGACAGTCAACTTGGCACCGCTGAAGAGACTGCAGCACCGCCCAAATTTCGACGGAATCAAAGGCTATCTCATAGTCCACATACGCCAGACATAGTGGCAAATTGTACTCTTCGGACTTCTGTACAATTTGCCGAAGGGTATGTATGTGGTCTATGGTGTTAAAGCCCTTTCGGAAACCGGCTTGTTCGGAAGGCTGGAAGTCGTCAAGTCTGCGCACGAGACGATTCGTAATGACTCTCGATAACAGCACGTAGACGCGGCTCAGAAGGGAAATCGGTGTGTAGTTCTTCAAGAGAGCGTTGTCACCTTTCTTGAAGAATAAGACCACCGCACTTCTGCTCCACGCCTCCGGAGTAGTACCACCATCCTCGCCTGGGACCTTGCCGTTTTTAAGGTGCTGGAGAGCCATTCTAATCTCACTCAGACTGACGTCCGGGGTATCTTCGGAATAGTGTCGGATAAGACTCGCTCTTGGATCGTTACTCACACTTGCGTGTGGCTCCAACGATGACGTGTACAGCTTCCCATAGAACCTGTCAATCTCACTCAAAATCTCAGGTGTCCCGGACGAAACGATGCTGCCACATTCGGTCTTCAGCTTTGACAGTTGGCTCTTTCTGGCAGACAGATCTCTGGCAGATTTTGGAGCCTTGGTTCCGCTCGATCGCTTCTTCAATACAAGCTGTATTGAAGTTGCGTAAGTCCCGCCGCATGCATTTGGGGATCTGTCTGTTCAGTTGCCTGTTTGCTGTCAAATCTGTTGAAGAAGTTTGTAGAAGTAGCTTCATCTCCCGTCTAAAAGCAATGAGATTGAAAGTGTGATCGGAGAGTTTTTGTGTTCTTCTGCGGCGGGTCTTGCAGAACTTAGCTCCGACGGCATGGACAGTTTCCACGAGCTTGTCATTCAAATCGTCCACTTCATTGCAGTCTTTTAGGCACTGAAAACGTTTTTGTAACACGAGCTGAAAGGTATCGGGACTTTGGAACAGAGCACGAGGGGGACGGAGCGTGTACTTCATTAGACGAGACCTCTCCAACTTTACGTTTAGGTTCAGTGTACCTCTGACCATTCGGTGATCGCTAACAGTTTTCACCCTCGCAATCACGGAGACATCACTGAACAGTTGCCGTCTGGTCGTCATAATGAAGTCAATCTCATTTTTGTCGAACCGTCGGGGCTCGACCAGGTCCACTTCCTGTGGGGCCGCTTCTGGAAGAAAGAGTTCATCATAAAGAGTCCCTATTTCTCCATGAAGTCGGTCAGCTGCTGGCCCCTTGGGTTCCGTTGTCCTATTCCAAATTTCCCTACTTTCAGGTCACCGATCTCTCTTGTGACTAGTTTTGCATTGAAGTCTCCCATTAACACCGTATATTGGGTTTTGGAGGAATGCATGGCTCTAGAGATATCCCAATACATTTCCTTCACCTCCTCATCAGGGTGT